AAAAAAATTGAATAGCTACCACTTAAAATTATTCATCTCCTATTTTTTTTTTTTTTAGCAAACATCTCAAGTGCTAAGAGGCATATGCTTGTCTTTTAGGAAAACTTGAATGCCCAGTGCATCCAACAGAGCTAGTGTTTGCCTTGGACCAGTCCCGGGATGTCACAGAGCAGGACTTTGAGCGGATGAAGGAAACGGTGGCTTCGCTGGTGAGAGGCATGAAGGTCCGGGAGAGAGGCTGCCCCATGGGAGCGCGTGTCGCCGTCCTCACCTATGGCTCCCACACCAGGCACCTGGTGCGCTTCTCTGACACATACAGGAAAGACCAGCTGCTCAGGGAAATTGCAGCAATTCCTTATGAAAAATCCCTGGACAGCAGGGAGACCGGCAAAGCTATGAGATTCATTTCCAGGAACGTCTTCAAGCGAACACTTCCTGGGGCCCACAGCAGGAGAATTGCCACATTTTTCACCAGCAGCCAGCCAGCCGATGTTCAGTCTATCACCACGGCCACTATGGAGTTCGGGGCCCTGGACATCACACCGGTGGTGATCGCCTTCAGCAATGTGCCCTCCATCAGGCGGGCTTTCTCGGTGAGGGGAGCCTGTCACACAGCCCTGGCAGTCATGCATTTGGCCTGTGCTCACAGGTCTCCTGGGAAAGAAGCGAGTTGTCGGGGTCATGTTGGGTTAATGAAACCAGCTGCCAAGAATTATTTATTACTGTGTAGCAGGATCATGCCAAGCCTTTTTTATTTGTTATCCTATTTGAATCTCACAAATAACATGGACCAGAGAGTGTTGTCATTCTCAGTTTATGGATGACAAACAGTGAGTCCAGAGAAGCTAAGCCACTTACTTGTGCAGGTTCTCACAGACAGGAAGTGACCACATCAGGACCTGAGGCCGGCATTCTCGTGCTTTTGCAAAGGAGTCTCCAGATTGTACCCGGGACTCAAAGATTCTAAATCAGAAGATCAGTAAACAGACATGGAGATTCCTGAGATAGCCAGGGTGGTAGTCATTCCCATAAGATAAATATCAACTGACTGATCTTATAACTTCGCCATTTATGTAATAATCCAGGTTGCATAAGGAAAAATCATTCCAGTGATAGCTTCTTAAATTGAGGATTAAACTTTTTTTTTTTTTTTTTTTTTTTAACAAGGACTGGGGATTAAACTCAGGGTTTTTGCACTGAGCTATATTCACAGCCCTTTTTAATTTTTTATTTTATTTTATTTTGAAGTAGGCTTTCACTAAGTTGCTAAATTTCCCATGCTGGGCTTGAATTTAAGGTCCTCTTACCTCAGCCTCCCAGAGTGCTGGGATTACAGGCATGCACCACCATACTGGGTGAGCATTAAACTTGTAATGCATAGCATTTTTAAATAAAACACCTGGGATTAAGACATCCATGTACAACACCATGTTGGTAGCAGCTTCACGGCAGGACTGTGTGACAAAGACCTGCTAGACCTAGCCAAGTACCCTTTCAGGCAGCTCTGCTGCCTAGCCTGATGTCTTGCTCTCCATTCATGCTGAGACAGATCTTTAGGAGGAGTCCCAGGCCTGACTTTTACAACTGATACACATTATAGTTACAGGAAAGAGAGGGCCCCAAGAAGCAGCAGAAGAGCATTAGAAAATGCATCTTCCTTCATTTAGAGAAAGAAAAATAAGGAACCAAGTTATTGTCTTTTGAGTAAAAGAAAAATTATCCTTGAAGAAAATTTGCTGATATCCAGCTTTGCCAGTTTCTCTTGAGAAAACCCAGGAGAGCAGAATACTTCGAGCTCTGTGTAGGAACTTGCAGAGGGCAATTTTCGTTTACTCTTGGCATAGAGTCAGTGGATTAAATGCAGGCGGCCAAGACATCAGCTTCTTCTGAAGGCCTGGTGTAGGGACAGCCACCCGCCTGTGTGCCAACTGTCTTTCCTGGGGGGCAGGATAGGTTAAATGGCTTTGAAGCCTTTCTCTAGCTCTATAAATTCCTGCCCAGAAAAATGTTGAAGAGGAACAGAGTTGCAATATATTTCACATAAATATGGAAAGTCATACTTATTTTCTAGAGTTGATGAGAAGATTGAATGGTGTGATGCTGTGCCAATCGCCTAGCATGTAAGCACTCAGAATGACTTTTCTTTTGAAAAAGAAAAAAAGCTTTTGCTTTCCCTTTTATCATTCAGTAGCTTGGTACAGATAAACTAAGAAGCATTCAATAACAAGGAGATCTGGTAGTACAGGAAGTAAACTGTTATTTGCATCATTGAACTAACTTTCAGAGTTATGCAAATAAAGAGGTTGTTATGTGAAACAGGAAGATGTATGTAAATTATAGAAGGCTGGGGTCAGGCTATGCAAACAAAGCTGCCAGAAGTAGCAGTCCCTAAATGAGTCTAGCTACACACAGAGGCTTCCTTACTCCTACAGCTCCTGGCTCGAGTCACAAAATAAGACAGAACATCCTGATGCAAATGATCCTGTGATATAAACTTAAACTGACACAATTTCACTTAACCCACGTTGTACAGGCAGCTTATAAATTATGAAAAGAAATTCTGCTGATCTTTTTAAACTTTTGAATCTTTTTTTTTAATATTTAAAATTTATTTACTTGGTACAGGGACTCACTCCTCAGTTTAGATTCATAGCGATTCTCCTGTGTTAGGCTCCCCAGCACTGGGATTACAGTGTCCAGTGCTGCCTAATTTCGCTGGCCAGCACAAGAGGTCTGGGGTTCTGGGAACTGCATGGCATGTGGTACCAGGGATTGAACCTGGGTCCTTGCACTTGCAAGGCAGGCACTTAGGCCACTGAGCTATCTCTCCAGTCCTAAACTTTTGAATCTTTTTCTGAGATAGTTGACTTAGGCCCTGTGTGTGTGTGTGTGTGTGTGTGTGTGTGTGTGTGTGTGTGTGTGTGCGATACTGGTATTGAAACTGAGGTCTTCATACTAAGCTATATCACCAGTCTCTCTGATTTTAATTGTATTTTGAAACAGGACATTAATAAGTTGCTTGGGTTAGACTGGGAAATTGTAGTCCTTTTGTCTCAACAACAAGTCCTGGGACAAACACATATGCCAATGATCTGGCCTCCTGACTCTATACCTAAATTTCCCACAGATTGTTTTGATGAAGGCTGACATTTTTGAAAATAGACCCTCTTCATTCTGAGCACCATTAGTCCCACACCCCCTTGGGCAGCAGAAGAGTTAGTGATAAAGTCAGAGGTCAGGACTGGTCCCAATGTTGGTCCATGTGACAAATAGCTCCTCATGCACAGCAGGCACCACCTAAGGCTCTGAGGACAAAGAGTCAATCAAAAAACCAGAAGGCCCACTGGTAGGAGAGGATGCACCTAGACAGTCTGGAAGGGCTCCAGATGGAGCGAAATATGCCAAGAACTTGGGTAGAACTCAGGGTCTGACCTTACAGAAGAGAAATTCCATCAACCGTTTTTGTTGGCTGTCTTTCTCTGGCACATTCTCTTCCATTGTGCTTTACCTTTGCTCAGAGTATCACTCATCATTTTTAAGAACACAACTCAAAAGTCTTCTGACATTGAGTGCTACATTTTAAAACCCCAATTTGTCTCATACTTATTGTGGCCTCACAATCTCAATTCATCTGAGAGTGCAGTTGGCCTGGGTGAAATTAGAGTCCCAAAGGTGTTTGGGACTCAAAAGAAGCTGCTGCATCAATGCAACTGATTTCATTTCTGAGCACAGAACTGTGCTTCACAATGGGGTGAAGCGGACCATGGAGCTGTGCTTCTGTAGTGTAAGGCCATTATTGCCTGGAAGTCTCATCTCTGTTGTGTCATTAGGGGTTGGTTTTTTTTTTTTTTTT